GAGGGATTTCCCACCCAAACCATCCTATGAGTCGGTGATTTCAAACAGGCAAATATCCTGCTAAATTCACACCCTACAAAGTAAATAGTTTGTCTAAGAGGAGATATGCAGGAAAAGGCAAAAGAAGTCAAAAAAATTCAGATGTCTTCGCCTTTCTGCTGTTTTCACTTTTATGTGCCAATATCTGGTGCTGGATGAGAATTATGAGCTGATGGTACTTGCTGGGTAGCAGGACGGCCTGTTGGCAGAGCTCAGTCTGTCTGCGTGGTGACAGCAGACATCATGGTGTGCCCTAAGCACCGCGGTGTCAGCAGGATCATGGCATTCCTCCCACCAGTGCTTTGGCCGTGCTGGATGAGCAAATGGCATGGTATGGTGTCAGGATGGACACACTGGCAAATTACCCTTCTGTTGCATCTCCTGGAGTTGTGGCTCATCAGTGTGTTCCTCTGCCCTGCGACTTCAGGCAGAGTTCTTTGTACTGCCTGAGCTGGAACTCTACAAAGGGAAGACACAAGGCAGCATCAGAGTTGGACTCGGTGATCACAGAATCACAGAATGGCCTGGGTTGCAAAAGACCACAGCACTCATCCAGTTCCAACCCCCTGCTGTGTGCAGGGCCACCAACCAGCAGACCAGGCTGCCCAGAGCCACATCCAGCCTGGCCTTGAATGCCTGCAGGGATGGGGCATCCACAGCCTCCTTGGGCAACCTTGATCCTTATGGGTCCCTTTCATCTCAGGTTATTCTAAGATTGATCAATATTTTAGGGTTTGAAGATCTTGAAGGAAGCTGAGACCTTGCAAAATGTCATCAGATCCTGCAAAATGGAATTTCTTATATAATTTGGCCTTTAGCACAATTAAACTTCTGTTGCAGCTTGGTTTCTCAGAAGAAATACTTTTGTGTCGATTACATTTAAAGTACGAAGACAACAGTGTAAAGGAGCCCCTATTCCACAGATTGCAGCAGTAATTGACTGCAGATGCACCTTCTCCAGTATTCTTGCAGCTGGGACATGGGGCTGTGCTGGGTCCAATCTCAGTTTATCTAACAAATTGGGTTTCATGAGTTTGGCTGACACATGTTCCACTTTGTCTCTTCAACTTTAATCTAAGAGAACTGTTAAAACTTCACCTGGCAAGCTCCTCTCCCAGCCAAACCAACAGCAGGAAGTCCTGAAACCTTGTGAATGAACCAGCTGGCCTAAACCCTGGGGCCAAGTGTGCAGAGTTATTAGTTTTGGAGCTCTCTGGGCTCTGTATGCTTGGGTTTAACTGCTCTAAGGCAGAACTCTCCAGTACCTGTGGGATTTTTTGGCGCTGCCATGCAGTCACGTCTCCGTCTTCACCACCCGTCCTCAAGGTGACATCTCCAGCCTTAGCTCTCACTCCTCTTTGGGATGAGAAGAATCCCCGAATGCACTGAAATTCCTTTTGCTCAGATCCTGGCCCCATCTTCCAGAATCTTCAGCTGATGAAGAATACCTTTGGTTGTGCAGAAACGATGCGGAGCAGCTCATGGAGTATTTTCACAGCAGTGCTTTGCTCGGTTCACTGCTTCCCCAGGTGTCGCTTTGCATTCTGTAATTATTTCTGCAGCTTCCCTCCAGCAGTGCTCTCAGGATTTAACGGCATCAGGAGGTGCAATCTTTGCTCCACATATTTTTCCAATTAAGAAAGCCCGAAGTGAAGAGAGAACTCACTTTGCTTAACTTCTTTTTAAATCTAAAGGAAACAAGCTTAGCTCCTCAAGCCTTGTCCTGTGGGAGCCAGAGTATTTCTGCACATTCTGTCCTTGCCTTATACCTGCTCTTGGCTGCTAAGTCCTTAAAGGGCTGTGAACTTTCTGAGAGTTTTCAGGTCCAAGGACCCAGGGGTGTGTTTGGGACCAATTTTGGTTGCTTTTTCCCTTCGCCCTTGCAGGGAGCCTCCAACTATCTTTATTTCATCTGCTGAATCTTCTTCAGCTTTCCCATGTCTTTTTCTGAGACCAGTGGGTAGAAACATGCAGTTTGAAACGTTTATGTTCTGGGATGTACAGAATGCTGCCTTCTCTTTTATTTTCTAATAATTTCACATTTGTTGCTCATCCCTTTCCATCACATTTTGCAGCTGTCTTTCCTTTTTGACCTGTCAGTGAGCACGGAACTTGAGAACCACAGCGATGTGGCACTGAGGGAGGTGGTCGTTGGGCATGGTGGGATGGGTTGGGGTTGGACTGGATGATCTTAGGGGTCTTTTCCAGACTGAATTGCTTCCAGGATTCTGTCCCCATCTGGCCCACTTCACTTTGGGGCCCGCAGCTGAGTTCAAGCAGCCAGGCCTTGCTCAGCTTTTGGAGCTCTCCTTTTGTTCTTGAGAAGCTGCTGTGGTTACAGCTGTCAGTCTGCAGCCGTTGTAGCACCAAGGGCTTGTGTGCACAGATTGCTGTAGTCTTTCCTTATGGCATCAGCTCATGGGTTGAGTCCTCCTCCCAGAGCTGGATTTTAGCTTGCTCTGCCATCACTGGTGCTAAAAGATTTATTATCTTAGTTACAAGACAGCATGAAAATGAAAATGTGGATTGAATATGAGAGTAGAGCAGAGGAGCCTGTATTTGAGTTAATTTTCTGCTTCAAGCAGAACCTTTAGTTTCTGCAGTGATGGGCTTTAGAGAGGATGTGGTTTGTGTTCCTGCTATTCAAATGTCTCAAAGCCAGTAAGTCAGCCTGTTGCTGAGCATGGGTTTCAGATGTTAAGCTGCATTTGTGTTTGCTTCGTGCTGAGCAGTGTTGGCGGCCGTGAGCATGGTGCTTCCCCATGGGACTCTCACCTGGACATGAAGATGCTTAACTGGGTTTGTGTGTTTCAGTCGTGGTCCTTGCATGCAGAATATCCCTCATTTCTTCCATGTCTGCCACCATTTTCTCTGCTTTACCAAATCCTGTCACATTCTGTAATAAATCCTTTTGATGATGTGTGATCAACACTACGGCATGCAAGTGAGACAGCCAGTGTGAATACACAGTAAGAATGTTAGGTTCTAGGTTAGGTTCATCTATCCACCCTCACATACTGCATCACCTTTCTGGCCATTGCCATGAACCCATCAGACATCAGATATCTTCTTCCTGAACTGATGAAATTGATTTAGATCACTACAGGTTCCATTTGTAGCTTCTAGTCTGTCCCTGAGCATTAAAACTTCTTGCTTAGTTTGTCATCTTGCAGAATTTTTGTTGATTTCTTGCCTGATTACCATTGAATTCTTTCCTTCTGTCCTTTCCAGCACAAGAGCAATGCCTGTTCTCTGGTTTTGAAACAAGTGTGCCAGGGGAGATTCAGGTTGAATATTAGGAACAATTTGCTCTCAGAAAGAGCAGTGCTGCAGTGGCACAGCTGCCCAGGAGGTGGTGGGGTCACCAAACCTGGAGGTGTTCCAGAACCGTGGGGATGTGGCGTTGAGGGACGTGGGCAGTGGGCATGGTGGGCTGGGTTGGGCTTGGGGATCTGAGAGGTCTTTTCCAACCTGAACGATTCTATGATAATTGCCTAATGATTTTCAGAACCCTTCCTCGTGGAGCACGTTGGAAATCTCTGGAAATCTCTGGGAACTTCCCTTCTCTGGTGGCACTGAGCAGAGTCACTGCAGCAGGCGTTCATGAAGAGGGCTATTATCTCTTGAGTCCTTTCTGCTCTGAAAGGATTAGCTCTGCATCTAATCTGCAGTTAATTGCTGCAGGAAGCAATAGTTCAAATAGTCAACGTGCAGGGCTGGTTATTCTTTATAGTAGGGATCATCCTTCTCCCTGGGCTCGAACACTCTTCTGCACTTTGTTTTTTTCCTTGGTCGTACAGCCTGGTACTATTATCTGTGCTAATTCTTGTGCAAATATATACACAGACCCTGAATTTGCTAACTTTTTTCAGCCTGCTGCTTCCATATCCAGTCAGTCTCCCAGCTTTAGAGTGCATTGCATATGAAGCAATCTGATCTTCTCACCTGCTTCTCACTGATCCTCTCACCTACACACACTTGGTGTCTGTTCTGTTACAGCCATCATGCAATGCAGGGCATTCCAATTAATGTCACTGTGCTTTTTTGGTCTCTTTTGTTGCACTGTTTCATTCTCAGCAGCTGACCAGCTTCCAGTAGCCCAGTGGCACTGATTTACCTGGCTTGTTTTACATGTGGTGGGTTAACATTGGCTGCTGACCAACGCAGTACAAATCTGCCAAGACAATGGAGGGAAAACCATGATTGTGAGAGACTGATGCCAAATGGGTTCCCTGGTTGGCCACACAGCACCTCCACTGCGGCCAGAGCAAAATATCTTGAGTATCCTGTGCCAAATTTGAGCCAGCAGTGGTTTAATTGCCATCCTCGATTTGCTGGTTGTGAAGGGACTGTCCAAAAGTCTCAGCCATGTGGAATGAGAAGCTTTGCTTTAGGACTCCACACGGCTAGGACCAGATTTGTGTAAGGTCTGTCTGGGATCGTTCAGAGACCGTCTGTCTTCATGTATTGGTGTATGTTCTCTATTCTCACCTATCTTTTTTAAAAGGGACCAAACAATAGTCACAGTCCACTCTGTTTCCATGTCATTTATCCTCCAGCCCTTGCTTGGCATGCAGATTTAATCTGATGAGAAGCTGCTGTCAGGTAGGTGCCTGACCATAGGTCATCCCAGATGGAGACCATTGCCTGTGTCTGCATTTCCTTTAGACTTCTGTGGAACTTCTTCTCAAGCTGCTTCCACGGTGAAAAAGAAATAGACAAGAGATGGAACATCTGAAGTCAGTTACAGGAACTGCAGTTGGGTCTCCAAGGAGGACAGCTGCCTCGTTGATATACAAATAGGAAATAGAAGGGATTCTTCTCTTACACAAAAAGTAACACTTGCTAGAGGTGCAGTTTTCCTGAGCCTCATGAGATGATCTGAAGTGGTGAGACCTGGCTATTGCATTGCTGGCAAATGCAGAAGCATTGAATTTTCCACGTATCTTTTTTTCTTTCAGTGTCATCAAGACTGTCACAGACATCCTCCCCTCAGACAAGCTGCCAGTCACCTTCCATCCAGACAGGCAAAGTCATCTCCTCATCCCAGAAGCACAGCAAGAAGGCACTCAAACAGGTGAGTGGCACAGTCTGAGTTTGGGGATTGCTGCAGTAATCTTATTTCTCTGTAGACCATCTTTCGAAGGGAAACTGCACTCTGCGGGGCTGAAAGTCAGGACTTCCTGCCTGTTGCATAAAACAGGGCTTTGCTAAATCATAGAATCGTTCAGGTTGGAAAAGAACTCTGAGATCTCCAAGTCCAACCCCAGCTCATCCCACCGTGCCCACTGCCCACGTCCCTCAGTGCCACATCCCCATGGTTCTGGACCACCCCCAGGTTTGGTGACCCCACCACCTCCCTGGGCAGCTGTGCCACTGCAGCACTGCTCTTTTGGAGAAGAAACGTCTCCAACCTGAACCTCCCCTGGCACAACTTAAGGCCATCACCTCTTGTCCTAAAAATCATCCCTCTCTCTTAAAGGAGATTCGAAATACTGTCTTGCTTGGAAAAAGCACCTGGAAATTTTATCACGGTTATTTTAGAGAATGAATCTGAGATACTGATTTTCACCCAAACTTTTTGATGAATGTGCTTAGCTTTCCGCAGTCTGTTTTAGAACAAAGAAGGTTCTTCTGAGAGAAGAATTAAATCCTTTAACTTATTCCCCTCATTAGGGGCATACTTTCCCTTCAAAGGAACTCTGTGGCCCAGGGTATCTTTATGGAGGTGACAGAGGGAAGCAGGCCATGCTGGCTTTGCACAGCTCCTCTAGTGGGCTTTATGAGAGAAGGAGCAGTGCTGGTTGTGCTGTGTGCTGGTATGTAGAGCTTACTGCATGCTCTCAGGATGGAACAGATAACTGTACCTCACACGGTCTGGTTCTTTTAATGAGAAAAAGCAGGATGAATTATTCCCTTAAGGATCTTATTTGCAGGTGTTTCCCCAACAGCATTGTTTAGTTTTCCATGATCCTTAGAAAGGAAGTGCTTTAACAGGGTTAGACTTACCCCTCAGTCAAGCAAAAATCTGCAAGGAGTTATGAATCAACTGCAGAGGAGGTGCGAGTCGAGGGATTACGGAAGCTTGTCACAGACAGATGAAATCCTGATGTGTTCTGGACAGGATTTACCTTTTCTCAGCCTGTTTTCCCAGCTTTTCCCGGCTGAGAAACAACACTCAGGATGGTATTCAGCTCTTAGAGATGCCCGTGGTGTTTGGAAAAGGAGATGCATTGAGAGATAAGGATCCAATTAGAACGTGCTGTTGAGGAAAATATCACAGGTGAAGATAAAGAAATGGAATAAACTGGAGCTTTGTTGCCAGTAGGAGTTAGATGGATGTCAAGCCTCTCTTCTTTCTAATTCTCATCTAATGGTTTCCCACTTTTCGTCTCTGAATTCCCTCTGCTCCTCTTGCCACCAGCCTTCCCCACCTCTCCATCCACCCCCTGCATCTCTGCTCTCCCCACGCTTCGCCCCACCTTTCTTGCACTGTTTACCTCTGGAGCATTCTTGTTCCAGTGCTGACTCCATGCGTTCTGAAATGTCAGACCTGGTGAGGTCCAGAATTTAGGTGGTGATCTCAGTTTCACTGCTCTCAGCCCTCTTGGGCTGGGGAAGAAAAGTCAGAAAGAAAGACAAATGGGGGAACACATGTTGGGCTTGACACGTGGCATACCTTGATCACACTGCACCATTCTGCAGCTGTCTATGAGGCCCAAAGCTGTTTCTGATGGTCACTGTCTTCCATCACAGCAGCATTTCTCCTTGGGTTTTCTTCCCAGAGTAGAGAGTGTGTCCAGTTGGAGTGTGCTGATAACTTATCTTCTGGGCACGCTGGAAAAAGGCTTTTGCTGAAGAGTAATGGATGCTGTAACCATCCAACCATTGTAACCCACCTGCCTAAAACTCACTGTGGCTTTGGATCAAATGAAGAACACTGTGTGCCCAATCCATTGCTTAATTTTAGTTCCAGTGGAATTCTGCTGTTTTGTCCAACTGTCGCATTGGCCACCTCTTCCTAAACACAATTCCTGCTGTAGACAGGAAAAATTGTGCAAATTAGGTAGAATGAGCAAGCATCAATAGCTGGAGGGAGACAAAGGCCTTATGAGTATACTAGAAAAAAACATAATTGTTATTTCCTTCATAATCCTAAAGAAAGGATATATTTTTAATTATACCCAGATTATTTGCTAGCGTGCAGTCGAGGAGACAGCTGGCTGGACTCAGTGTTGGGTAATTATAACATCACTGGAGGGAACAGAGAGCAGATTTTAAGTGAGGATGTTTAACTCCTGAACACCGCATTGCTGCAGAAGCCACTTGTTCCTTACAGTCTTTGGGAAGAACTGGGAGTTGGAGGTTTGCATTACCTCGATCTGCATTGACAGAGGCATGTCAGCTCTCATCCTGGTCGAATGATGAAACATTCCCAGGGAGAATCCTCCTCTGTTGTAGTGATTGATTTATTGATGACCTCGATGAGGGCATCGAGTGCACCCTCAGTAAGTTTGCAGATGACACCAAATTGGCTGGAAGTGTGGATCTGCCTGGGGGTAGCGAGGCCCTACAGAGGGATCTGGACAGGCTGGAGAGCTGGGCTGAAGCCAATGGGATGAGTTTCAACAAGGCCAAATGCCGGGTCCTGCACTTCGGCCACAACAACCCCAGGCGACGCTACAGGCTTGGGGCGGTGTGGCTGGAGGACTGCGTAGAGGAAATGGACCTGGGGGTATTGATTGATGCTCGGCTGAATATGAGCCGACAGTGTGCCCAGGTGGCCAAGAAGGCCAATGGCATCCTGGCTTGCATCAGAAACAGTGTTGCAAGCAGGAGCAGAGAGGTGATTGTTCCCCTGTATTCAGCACTGGTGAGGCCGCACCTCGAGTACTGTGTCCAGTTTTGGGCCCCTCACTGCAAGAAAGATATTGAGGCCCTGGAACGTGTTCAAAGGAGGGCAACAAAGCTGGTGAGGGGTCTGGAACACAGGCCATATGAGGAGAGGCTGAAGGAGCTGGGATTGTTCAGCCTGGAGAAGAGGAGGCTCAGGGGAGACCTCATTGCTCTCTATAACTTCCTGAAGGGAGGTTGCAGTGAGCTGGGGGTCGGCCTCTTCTCTCGTGTCATTAGTGATAGGACCAGAGGGAATGGCTTCAAGCTACGGCAGGGGAGATTCAGGCTGGACGTGAGGAAGTATTACTTTTCAGAAAGGGTGGTCAGGCACTGGAACGGACTGCCCAGGGAGGTGGTGGAGTCACCGACCCTGGGGGTGTTCAAGGAAAGACTGGATGTTGTGTTGAGGGACGTGGTTTAGTGGGAGCTATTGGGAATAGGTGAACGGTTGGACTGGGTGATCTTTTAGGTCTTTTCCAACCTTGGTGATTCTATGATTCTATGATTCTATGATTGTGTGGTGATACAGAAAAAAAGGCATTCAGACTCTGGAATTCATCATCCAGATTTGGAAAGATGGGCAGATTCTTACCCTGGGCTGGAAAATGAAGATGCTGCCCCAGTTCTTTCCTCTGCTCCTCTCCCGTTCACTGACCTCACCTCCTCCTCACACAGCTCAAGCAGCCACATCCCAAAGCCATCAGAATTCAGATCTCGTTGGAGTTTTCAGAGGTTTTAAATTTTTAATTAAATTGTTTTAATATTGTTTATGCTGCTGGCCTTCATCTTAATCCATTCTTGTTGTCTAATGTTGCTACACACGCATGGAAGGAGTAAGGCCAGGAGCTGAGCTGGGCTGCACCCTACAGAAGCTCTTGGGTTGGTAAATCAAACACCCACAAATCATGGAATCATTCAGGTTGGAAAAGCCCTCTGAGATCCCCAAGTCCAACCCCAGCCCACCGTGCCCACTGTGTCCCTCAGTGCCACATCCCCACGGTTCTGGAACACCTCCAGGTTTGGTGACCCACCACCTCCCTGGGCAGCTGTGCCACTGCAGCTCTGCTCTTTATGAGAAGATGTTTTTCCTAATACCCAACCTGAACATGGGCTGTGTGCTCTGGTTGAGGTCTGAACCCACATTGAGGTCACAGCCATATTTGGATGGCCAAGGGGGGCGAACGAGCTCCTTTTTGCAAGGCTTCAGAGCTGGCTGGAACCTGAGCAGGGCATTAACACCCAGCGGTCGCCCCGGTGTGTGTGGCTGGAGATCTGCCCTGCAGGGAAGGCAGGCAGCGACCCGCAGACCTGTGATGAAAAGGCAATGTGTGGGTGAGGGCAGAATGGGCCTCGTAGTGCTGGCCTGCATGAAGGCTCTTCTGGAGCTCCCCCTCACCATCCATGTGTGCAAGTTCAGATGCTGCAGTCAATGACCAGATTACGTGGGAATTGAATTTGTATCGAATACCTCCCTATCTTTTAAGCTTCTGACCTCAATAGCAGGAGATTAATTGTGCATAGCAGGGAATGTTTGCCCTTCCCAGTTTTCAATTTTGTTGTTTTTTCAGTTTCACTGATTTTTTTTATGTTTTATTTTTTTTGCCCTGCACTGCAGGTGACTGTTTAGGAACTGCTTGATAGATAGGAAAACAGGCATGTGCCATGGCACCTGGTGATTTGTATCCTCCTGTTGTCAGTCTTCTTCAAGTGGTGCCTTTCCAAACTGAGGGTCTCTTTCCCTTTCCTCATGTGGCCCCTTCCTGGGGGCTCCTGGGTGTTTATATTCCCTCTCCTGCTCATAACTGTATTTTGTAATGATTGTATAAGATAGTGATGTTGCCTCAGTAACAGCCCCACTCATTTGTGTACATGCAGCATATTGTTTTCTCTCAGTTCCTATTCCTAAATTCTGGTGTGTGCTTTATCTGTTGGAATTCCTTCTGTTTATTTTTGAGTTCATTTTTTGAAAGCACACACTTTGGCTTGGGTAGCAGCTGCAGTTTAACCAAATTGCCTCCTTACTTCCTCGTCGCAGCCACTGGTGCCTTTTTGGCAAAGCTGTAGTTGTCTTAACAGCCTTTATTGTAGCAAAGGGTTTTAGTGTTCTATTCCTTATTACTTTCCTAATTAAAAAAAAAAGAAAAATCTTTCCTAATGGATGTTGTCTCTGTTGAATGTTTTTAGTAAGTTGCTGCTTGCTTGTCCAGGAGGTGAAAATGAATTACGTTGTAGAATTGATGCTTTGAAATTAGTTATACTTAGTACTTGATTACTTGATAATTACTACTTGAACCAGCTCCAGATTTGGAATTCCTTCCTCTAGAGATATCTTTTTTTAATGCAACAACACAACTTTGGGTATTCTGCAGCCATTACCTTTGGCTGTAGGTGCAGAGGTAGGCAGTGTGTGTGCCTGTAGAGCTGCATTTAAGTAGATCGGTGTCTCATGCAGAATGAGTGAAAGCTGTCCATGCGACCTGCTGTCAGTCAGGATGCCTGTGCTGTGCGTTCATCATTTCTGAGAGTATTTTGAATTTCCTCTTCCCCAGGCCTTGAAACAGCAGCAGCAGAAGCAGCAGCAGCAGCAATGCAGAGCAGGCATGCCGGTGTCCTCTAATCAGCACGTCCTGCTGAAGGCTGTCAAGGCAGCCAGTGCCTCCACACCTACAAAACCTGGTACGTGGCAGCAGCTCCTGTCCTGCTCATTGCTATTGTCACTGTCATTGTAACTTGCTTTTTCTTTCTGGGGAGTCTCCTTCTCTGGAGATGTTCAAGACCTGCCTGGATGCCGACCTGTGCGACCTGCTGTAGGGAACCTGCTTTGGCAGGGGGTTGGACTGATGAGCTCTGAGGTCCCTTCCAACCCCTACAATTCTGTGATTCTGTGATTCTCTTAGGGGAGGAAAGAATAAAGTCCTATTTCCCAGTGGTTTTGTTTCTGAGATATTCCAGCTCCTTTCTCCCTGGCTTGGACTTTATTAGGAGCACGTTCTGTTAGGAACAGATCTTGAATGGGTTTTACTGTGCAACATCTTTCTGTGGCAGATGTCATCCCCCTTAGTTGCATATGCACTGTAGTCAGGTCTTTCTCACGTCTAAGCAAATTAGGCAGAGATTCTTTTAGTATTCATTTCTTTGCAGACTGCCTTTTCATTCTGTAGTGTGGCTTTCATGTCATGTTTCAAAGATGTATGTTTTTACCTGAAAGATTCTGAAGTGCTCTCCTGAAATTACACTACATTTGAAATGAATGCAGTCGTAGAATCATCACAGAGTGGTTTAGATTGGAAGGGACCTTAAAGATCACCCAGTTGCAACCCCTTGCCATGAACAGGGCTGCTCTGCTCTGTCTCGTTCAGCAGTACATTTGCTTCCTTCCCAGCATCAGGTTTTCACTGCTCATCACAGGTTCTGTGTGGTTACTTCTGGCCAGTTATGCGTAGTCTGTTCTCACCAGAACTGCTTTCCAGGATGAGCTCCCTGTTCTGTAGGCATGATTTCAGTTGTTAAGATGCAGCAAATGGCTTCTGCATTTCTATTGCGTGGTTTACACCAAGCCCAAGGTGCTGCAGGGCCTGGGGCAGACATTTCTTTCTCAGTTGGAAGAGTCCTGCTGGCCATCTTACTCCTTCTATAAACTCACTGACGTAGAGAATTAAAACCCTGCAGCACATTCAGGGTGTGGATCCGTTCTGAATTCATATGGTGTCATGGTATTCTTTGTTCCTTTGCTAACCATCCCCAGCATTTGCTTTGTTTTTTTTTACCTAGCCAAGAGAAGCCATTTTCCTGGCTTAAAGTTAAAGTTCCAACCCTCTTTCCTGACTTATTTTCTATCTTAGGGCCCAACACTGCATATGTGAGGTTAGGAGAGTTCTTTTTGCACATCACTTCTGTCTCTGTGCAGTGAATCTCACCTGTTGTTCTGTCACTCAGTTATCCATCGGCATGAAGTCCTCCTGCAGCAACAACAGGGGACTGAAATCTCTACCAAAAAGCAAGGATCTTCTCTGGTTCCGTCCTGCTGATTCTGATCCTGCAGCACATCCTCAGGTCCTGTCTGAAGTCCCAGCACTTAGCCCCACTCTTAGCCCCACTATTTACCCATTATTATGAGTAAAATGCTGTGCTTTCTTTCAAACTCAAACACTTCCAGGAGTGGGAAATTCCCTCCTTCTTAATAATGACCCCATGTTTTTCCATCGTTAAGCCTTGATTTATGTGGCTGATCTTGGTTCATCTCAGAAAGATGATGGCCACGAAAATGGAACCGCTGAGAAAAACACAGCAAGAGTGCTCAGTGTAAAAGGCTTCTGTCACAGATGGAGTGACTGAGGCTGGCAGCCATGAATCAGAGGTTCCAATTCAGGTTGGAAAAGATCTCAGATCCCCAAGTCCAACCCCAGCGCAGCCCACCGTCCCCATTGCCCACATCCCTCAGTGCCACATCCCCACTGTTCTGGACAACCCCCAGGTTTGGTGACCCCACCACCTCTCTAAGCAGCCCATCCCAATGCCTGACCACTGTTTCAGAGAAGGAATTGTTCCTGATATCCAACCTGATGTCCCTTGGTGCAACTTGAGGCCATCACTTTGCATTCTATCACTAGTTACCTGAGAGAATGGCTGCCTGAAAAATGAGAGAGAAAACACACAAGAGACCACAGCAAATTTACATTTCCAATTTCAAGCCCTCAGCTATTTTTAGTCTTCTTAAAATTAACTTCTTGCCCTCCTTACAGCCAGGGAAATGCCCAAGAGCACCGCTTAGTTTACAGGTACGGAAGTAGCCAGAGAGGGCTGCATAGCAGTCATACAGTGAAGCAGCAGTAGTCACATGAACATTTTGCTGTTTGCTGTTGGATTATCTTGGTGTAACGCTAGGAACTGTGCTGCAATTCCCTGCTCATGTTAAAAATTCCACAGCCATCAGAAACGGGCTCTAGGACGCCCCTGAGAGCTCATCTTGTCCATGGGGCAGGATCTGCTGTGCTGTCCTGACAGATGCTTTCTCCACTCTGTTCTCAGAGACACTGTTGCAAAGGCCAGAAACTCCCAGCAAGTCTTGACCTTCCTGCTTTGTTAACTCTGTCCTTACATTGTTTTTATCAGTCTCCAATCAAAATCTTTCCTTGGTTTGGTTGAAAACCAAGATTTCCTTCCTGTCCACTGTGGAAATAGAAGGTTATTTGATTGTTTGGTTATTTGATATCTTCTCTCTACAGCCTTTCACATAACTGGAAATGTTGTCTCATCTCTTGCTCGTTTTCTTTAGTATAAAGTTCTTCCTGTGTTTTTTAGTGTGTTTGTTTATTCTCCCTTTCCAAATAGCCCTAAAGAAATCCAAACCCAAACTAGACCAATCTGTCCTGGCTAGCTGATTCATACTGCTGGAATGTTTCTTGCACATCTGTTCAGACATATGCAAGGTTGCAGCCATGTGCTGTACATCCATTTGAAAGAAATGGCCATACTTAGCTGTGCTTCATGCATCATTTAAAGGCAGAGGAAGTGATGCGGGCATTGAATCGTTGATGATGTTTCCTGTTGTTCCCAGACAGCTTTGCAGTTCAGACCCTTTCTGAAAGGTTCAGAGGAAAACCATGAATCTTGTGTTTGTCCTGAGCTGTGGTCCTGCTCGTGCAGCCTGGGACGCAGTTACCATTGGTTGGCGTGGAGGTGATGGGTTGGTGGTTGGACTGGATGATCTTAGAGGCCTTTTCCAACCTCAGTGTTTGTTTCAGTGATTCTGCCAGGCCTCGCTCCCCAAATCTCACCAGCCAGCCAGCTACAGTTGTGTCATTCTGTGATTCTTCCCTTCCATTTGTCCACCCATCCAAACCTAATGTCTCAGCTTGCCTGCAGCGTTTCAGGACACAATGTCAAATGTCTTGCTGAAATTGAGGTAATTGGCATCCACCTGTCTTCTCTCATCCACAAATCCAGTCATTTGATGGCAGAAGGTAATCAAGCTATTCAGGCATGATTTACCCTGCTAAATCCACGCTGACTGCTTCCATCTCCTTCGTGTGCACAGCACTGTGCTCCAGTGGCATTACAGGGACGACTGTGACTGGTCTGTATTTTCTGTTTGTATTTTTCACCCTTTTTGACAGTGGGTGCAACGTTTGCTTTGCAGTTAAGGATTAAACTCACTTCACACATTGTCTCAAGAAAATCAGAGAGAAACTAGGTTTGGAAAAGCCCTCTCAGGTCCACAGGTCCAACCCCAACCCAGCCCACCATACCCACTGCCCACTGTGTCCCTCAGTGCCACATCCCCACAGTCAGGGAACACCTCCAGCTTTGGTGACCCCACCACCTCCCTGAGCAGCTGTGAAACTCTGAAACTCTGTGCCACTGCAGCACTGCTCTTCATGAGAAGAAATTGTTCCTAATACCCAACCTGAACCTCCCTGACAGATACATTTCTCAGCTTTTGCTGTAGTCCCTATAGAATTGGACTTGCTTAGTAGAAGCAGTGTACATTCATGCACCCCCCAATTAAGCTCTTAAGTGGAGACCTGTCATTATCTGTAGAGGGAGGGAAGACCTGGTCGTGTTGTTAACTCATCTCACTTAGAAAGAGGAGAGAAAGGCAGGCAGGGAGAATCTGGGGAAGAAATCCTTCCCACCAGCAGAAGATAGTGCTGTGCAAAAAGGAGTGTGGGTGGCACTGCTTTGTAAGGCAAAATCAGCGTGGTGAAATCATCAGCTCAGTAGTGACTCTGGGGGAGGACATGAAAATATCTGAGTATTTGAAAGGGGAGGGGGAATTACTGAGGTTGGCCTAAAATAATAACATTTAGAAGAAAAGGTAAGAACTTAGAAAGTACACATAAGGTATGAAAAGATTTTTTGTGACGGTGAACTCCGGTAGAAATTAAAGCTGCATCTGAAAGGACGTTTCAACAGGATCCTTACTGGACTGAGTGTAAATGGGAAATAAAATGGGACTAGCAGGAAAATAGACTCAAACCATGACTGAAATGGGTGTCCATCTCTTCGTTTTGTCTTTGTTTTGTGACAATGAGAGAGCTACAGAGGGCCGTTCTGCTCTCAGCCTGCTGGGAAATCAGTGCTACAAGAATAAAGGAGTGTCAATGTCATAGAAGTGCTTGTCCCAGAGCTGCTGGGATTGCAGTGAGCGTGTTAAAGTGAGCGTGTTTGTTTCAGTCCAAACAGATGTCTTGTATAATATTTCTTTGTATATCCCTGTGTTGAACTGTTTCAATTTCCTGTGCAGCTTGGGTAGGAAAGCAGTCCGATGGACACTCAAACAGCTCTCAGAACTCCACCTCCAGCTCCTCTGCCTCTGTTAAGCTTGACAACTCCTTGCCAGGGCTGGGGAAGAAGCCATTCCAGAGATCTGACAGGCTCCATGCAAGTAAGACATTGATTTTTTCTGATTTAGTTGTTGTGATGACAGAACAAAAGCCAGAATGGCAGCGCTGACTGAAACATGCCATTAATTCCATTTCCGCAGTGATCTGTGGAAGGCACTCCCACTATTCTGCATGAACTAAGATAAATCATTCAAACCTTTCGTATACAAATAAGCCTTTGCTCGTTTTGTAGCACCGAGGGTTTCTGCCTGTGAATTTGGAGCTCAGTTTGAGAAGCAAAGAAGGATTTGCATTACTTTGAAGGCTTTTTGTATGTACTTAAGGCACTGTGGTAACAGACAAAGAGGAAAAAACCTCCTCCCCAGATCCTTCAGGCCCCGGTGTTACTTAGCTTCCTTCCCACTCATCTTTCTCAACTTCTGTAGTTTCTTATGCATATACCAAGGATGGGATTGACCTTGATTAACACTGCTCCAGCCGAGCTAATCATCCCAGATTTCCTTTATTGCTGGTGAAGAATTGCTGGCACTGTGAGGGCATGTTTCATTTGCCCTCCATTAGATTCTGTCTTACTGCAGGATGATTTGTGCCCTGGAGGTCTGACTTAGGGAAGCCTAGGAAGCTAGCTGAAGTGCCAGTCCCTGCATGCTAGACATCTCTATAGGTTTGGTGGAATAAAATAGGGTGTTGTTATGTGAGTGGCACCTTGACCTGCCTCTAGAAGTCACAAGGAAAAGAGGACAGTGTGTTCTCATTACACACAGGACCAGAATCCCATCAGTTGAGAACTGTTCACCCACAAATCCTCTGAGGCTTCTCTCTTTCCCCGTTCCTTCTCCCACACCACAAGGCTCAGACCCATTTACAGAGCCACGTGAGATAAGGCTGCTTTTACAGTTCTTACCTTGGCCGTTTAAAAAGGATTGTGATCCACTGATGTGGAAGAATTGCCAGGTTCTCAAGTTCATATGGATGAAATACTGGAAAAAAACATAAGGCAGAGGAATGCTGGTGCCATTTCTGTAGATGGACTCTCAATCAGATGGGAAGCACGCAGCCAGGTTGAGATGCTGCTCTCCTGCCCAGCTTCGTCTCACTCTGTAATCAGGAAACTGCAGCTCCTGATAAATTACAGACCTGCAATTTCTGAGGGAGTCGTGTTTGTGATAGAAATGCTTTCTTTGCTTTTATTTTCTGAGTTTGCAGCACATACATGAAGCTGCAAACATGAAGCTGTAACATAAGAGTCAGTGCTGAATTTGTTGGCTTTCAAACGCAGAAAAAGAGAGAGGATTGCTCGTTTTTGCTGCTTTGTCCAGGCTTGTGGTTTCAACACAAGCAGAATGAGCTGCTTTTAGTGAGAGTAAAGCAGGAAAGTCCAAGAAGAAATCCCTAAGAACAATGTGACCTTAACTGGAGGCTTAAAATAGGGAACTGGTGTGGCTGAAAGTTTGTGCAGAAACCCTTCTGAAAAAGAGTTCTTGCCAGCCCCCAGATAGACACCCAGGCTTCCTAGGAAATCCAGATGAACTGACCCAGGGTACGATGCAGTAGGAAGAATTCAGTGACAGAAATGACCTCCCAGTTTTGTTTCTAACTATATGTACAACTTTTTGCAAAGGTACATGGTGTATTTCAAGTTAAGGTTTGAAACGGAGCGCTGAAGCGCTCTTTGGGAGCCTTTAATCCTCTCATAGATGAGATGCTACTCTCTGTTCTCTCTGGTTCTTTTCAGGGCAGCTGAAGAGAACAAAGTGTGCTGAAATTGACGTGGAAACTCCCGACTCCATCCTGGTGAACACCAACCTGAGGGCACTGATCAACAAGCACACGTTCTCTGTTCTGCCCACAGAGTGCCAGCAGCGCCTGCTGCTGCTGCTGCCAGAGGTGGACAGGCAGGTGAGTTGTGGTTCGGGGGCAGAGAGAAAGCTCCTGGTATCAGTGGGGAGTAAATCTGATGAGACACAGAATCATAGACTGGCCTGGGTTGCAAAGGCCCACAGTGCTCATCCAGTTCCAATCCCCTGCTGTGTGCAGGGTCGCCAGCCAGCAGCCCAGGCTGCCCAGAGCCACATCCAGCCTGGCCTTCATTGCCTCCAGAGATCATGCAGACATCCAAGCACTACATTAATCTCTAATGGAGTAGACTTTTTTTATTCTGTGTACCGTGCAAAATATTACAACATTCTTCTATGTTTCCTTTGGGGATTTGTTGCTACCAGATTAAAGAATTCAAGTTTGATAAATCAGTGGCTTAGTTCCATCCAGTCAACGCTATGTTCCCAGCTACAGTGAGAGAAGTGTTTGTGGTACATCAGACTCCACAAGGGCCAGTGGGAGGAACATGGTGGTCTCACTGTTTTCCTCTCTTATCTTCTCCCAGACTCTTTGGTACAGGATTAACCCTGCAGCTTTCTGGACAGGTGCCTTCCCAATACCTGGACACACAGTGGAATTCAGTTCCATCTTCTTCTGTTTCTCATTATCTCGTGTTGCCGCTGTCAAATTTTGGGCTTTGCTAAATTCAAAACGGAGCGAGTTTTCAATTGCATTTTTATGTTGTCCAGATTGCAGAGTAAACCCCACAGAGTTGGTGTCCTGATCTGAAACACACAGCAGGTGAAAGGCAGCAGGCACACAGCAGGAGGCACCTATGGGGCAGTTTGTTTTTTGCAGATGCTGTGCTCGACACCTCTGTGTGTGGGAGGAAAAGGGCTTGAAAAGCCAGGAAAGTACTTGGTGGGAAGGAATGGGATCCACATCAGGATTTCTGTTCTATCCTGAGGGATACAAAACAACCTGCTTGAAGCAGTCTTAACATCACAGCAGTTTTCTTCAGCAGTGGATCCAGGGATGATAGAGATGAGACCAAATGTTACCCTTGCTTGTAAAAGGAGGAAAATACAGTGAGTTCAGGGAGTGAAGTTCAGTCTGTTTGTGCTGAGTACCAGAAAGGTTAGAGCTTGAACAAGGATACTTCCTTTTGCCTTCATCATATGATATGTTGATGTCAGCATTCCTACCTCAATGGGCCTGGGAGCTTCCAAGCAACGTGGGATTCTGCACTGTGCTTGCATGGGATTCTGCACTGCCTTTCCACTTCTGTTGTAGGGATGTTTGTTCAGATGTATTCACGTACAACCTAGAGCATCCTGCAGACACCATGGGTGGCTTTGGGACATCCTGTATCAGATCTGGGTGTCCCTTGAAGATATTTTACTGCGTCTGTTCAGATTAGGGCTACGTGCCAATTCATACTCATCTCAGTCACTCCCAAGGGGTCTGCATCTCAGCTGTAGTTATTCCAGGCTCCTTTAGAAAGTGGAAATCCAGTTGGTACAGTCAGCAGCATGCAGCCAAACCAGCTGCTTCACGATGAAGCCTTTTTGTTTGTGCTGCTGTTCTGCAGCTCACGGAGCATTAATAATGCATATGGGTCACACAGCTGCACTGAGGTCTGCTGTGCAGAGGGTGCTGTTGAGCAGATCCATTAGGAGTTAGGAAGAGTTGTGATGTTGTGTCATAAATTCTAATCTTCAATCAGACCCATCAGGGGCTTGTTAGTTCAATAAATAATTGGAGGACTTGTTTTTTAAGTCTTGTTGCCTTTGCAGTAGTGAGGTACGTGTCAGAGTACGATGTGATGGAGTTTGCAGCTGGAGTTCACTGGCAAGAAGCTCACAGCAGATGGCAAGACAATTCTGTCCCAACTTTTAAGTTTAATTATCCTTAAATTCAATTAGAATTTGACTGAGAACGAATTTTGATTATCTAAATAATGCAGCTTAGCTTCTGAGAGGCTGCATTTTGCATTTCACCGTAGTAAATCACCCACCCCCCAGTGACACACTCCATAGCAGTGTCAGACTTTCCCGTAGTAAACAGAAGAGGTGAAGACATTGGATGTGCCAAAGGCAAAAGGTCCCCTCTCCGTTGTGTCTGTGTGGAGGTGGCTTAGTGCCTCTCCAAGTGGGCACTTACTGAGACGTGGCCCAGGGCTGTGCCCTGACATCACGTATGGGCAGACCGTATGTGCAGCAGAGGATCATCTTTTGAGTTGCACTCTGTGGCTGATCAGTATGGATTTGGATTAGAACAGGCACCTCTCTTTCTGTACATCTCTGTAGTGGTTCTGCAGCTGCAAATTACTGAATGTGCCTTTTTGTGTTTCTAACAGAAAAGTGCACATTTGTTTCGGTGTGGTGATCATTTCCCACCGTGCTGTGTTCCAGTCTCAGCCTTATGCTTTTGCATTTACATCCTGCACTGTAACTTGACTATCCAATTTGGTTAACTGTATTTTCAAGACCGAATGAGTTTAGAGCTTCACTTGTCCCTGTTTTTCCAGAGGCAGCTATGATTATGTTTGCAGGCATTTCAGAGTTACTTTAACCTGATAACTTTTATATCCCTGCTTTTGCTCTGCACAGCGATTCAAGGCAATGTCCTGCATTAATTTTGCAGGGCAGAATGCATTTGAAGAGGCTGTTCATGGGCATTGCTGTCCCATTTCCTTGCACTTCTTGCCACCTGTATCTTGCTCTGTTTGTGTGCGTTTGTGCAGCAGCAGAGCAGGATAGGCTTGGGCTGAAGCAAAGAAGAGGAAAATTTGTCACAATCTCCGGATTCCAGACTTGGTTTCTTTTCTTCGGATTGAAATAAAGGCTGACTGTAGAGAGATTTGTAGCAACATTGCAACTCTTGCTCTGTTTTCACACAGCACAACATGGGACGTTTGCCTTTTCAGCTAATCATCACTGTTTGCTTTGTGATGTATTCCAGGTTGGGGCAGATGGTTTGATGAAGCTGAGTGGTTCAGCGTTGAACAATGAGTTCTTCACTTCAGCTGCCCAGGGCTGGAAGGAGAGGTTGTCAGAAGGTAAGACTTCCCATAGCAAAGAAGTAAAGTGTTACAAGGCTTTCAGCTCATCAGTGTTTTGGGGAATGTGTAAAATAGATTTGATGGGGAAACTGAAAGGCTGGATAAGTTCCTAGGTAAAGACAGCTGTGGGCATTGTAGCCCATAAGAGCGAGTGCAAGCGTAGATGTATTTCCTCTTAGTGGGGAAATGCTGGTGGTTGGTTGGTGGTGGGACTGGATGATCTTTGGAGGTCTTTTCCAGCCTTGGTGATTCTGTGATCTTATGAAGTGCAGGTCACAGTAAGGTCTGTAGTAAGGAATTGTCTTCTGAACTTAACGTGTGGAAAAACGAGCAAGTCCGTGGAAGAAGTGGCAAAAGAATGAAAAATGGTTTTGAAATGTTGGTGAAATGCCAGTAGAGGTTTGTTATTATCCAGCCAAATACAGCCCAGTAGAGAAGGTAAATTATATTCCCAGATAATGCACTTTATCATCAGTGAAGTGATCTTGTCATATCTGGTACTGTCAGTCCTCCAAGATGTTGTTCTTTACATGCCATAAAGACAGCCAAGTACAAATACATAGCATGCCTGCACCTTCAACAGCCATTTGCATCTCAAACTCAGAGGTGCTGAATTCTTTAATCGAGCTATATCATCACAGGTGCACTCACTCCTTGGCAGGGACTGTTTCCCCTACAGAGTTCAGCCACACAGCTTCTCACCAGCATTTTTATAAAGACTGCAGGGTCAGCCTTGACTCACTTTAAGAAGGGAATGCCATTTACTCATGTGCAGATTGGATACAATGGATTCTTAGGAGGTTTTTCCATAGAAAAAGCATCCTATTCTGTATCACCATTTATATTTTGTGGGTGTATCTGTGACAGTAAGCAGACAAGGAACAGAGTTCAGCTGTCTGTACTTTGTAATTGTTGGAACCTCCTGTAATTTTGGCCCTCATCCTCTGGTGTTTTCCCTTTAAAGCCAAACTGAAGACCTTTCATCCATTCATCTACATCACATCTACAGGGAACAACAGTGTCCAATCACCAGATTATAAACACAACAGCTGTAGAACCTTCTGTGCTCATAAAGCTTGCAGCAGTCGAGCTCAAGAAGTCTGGAGGTGTCCACTGACATTCTCACTAAGCAGCATGTCACTGCTTAGGTCTCAAAGCTTGATGGCACTGCAGGCAGAAGGGTCCTATAGGTTTTGTTTGGCTGCAGCTAGTGCACTCAGGCCCTGACAGTGTGCAAACTGTCAGGTGAAAGCATGAATGCATGGTCAGACATCATTACTGTAGATAGAAGCAGCACAACCTGCCAGATTGACATCAGTACCTGCCTGAGCAGAGGTACGGGTCAGTGGTCCTTCTAAGCTGAGGTCAGAAGCTTAGGATGTCTTCATACAGCAGCAAGATTTGTTTGTAGAGGAGGTTTGGGTTGGATATTAAGAACAACTTCTCCAAAACAGCAGAGCTGCAGTGGCACAGCTGCACAGGAGGTGGTGGGGTCCCCAAACCTGGAGGTGTTCCAGAACCATGGGGATGTGGCACTGAGGGACACAGTGAGCAGTGGGCACGGTGGGCTGGGTCAGCAATTGGACTTGATGAACTTGGACAACTTTTCCTTCACGATTCTAAGAATCTGCAAGGCATAAAAGGGTGGAAATGACAGAAATAGTTTGTCACCATGGGTAAAAATTTTCAGAAGCATCAAATGACTTCAGAGCAGATGGGCCGCGTTTCGGGGAGCTGAGGGAACTTCCAGTGCCTGAGAGGCCCCTGCCCATCATCCTGAAAAGGAAGTGAAGACTGGCAGAAATTTCCCGCAACTAAGAAAGGCAAATGTTGCACTCACCTTCAAAAAGCACCAGAAAGGTCATTTGAGAAGATGCAAATCTGGTCAGTGTCAGTTTCATCGTGGTGCGAGCCCTCTTGGAGGACATTCCAGGGTGTGTGAAGGAGAAGGTGATTGCGAACACTCAGCATTTATTTCTTGCCTGCTTGGCTTGAGTGCCTAAAAAAGCCCTGAATTTGTGAATGGCAGAGATCAGTAGGTGTCATTCACATCAACATAAGCAAAGCTTTTTGGCACAGCTGCCCAGGGAGGTGGTGGGGTCAGCATCCCTGGAGGTGTTCCAGAACCGTGGGGATGTGGCACTGAGGTGGGCAGTGGGATGGTGGGGTGGGTTGGGTTTGGGAATCTTAGAGGTCTTTTCCAACCTGAATGATTCCCTGATTCTTTATCTTGTCTCCCACAGTATTCTGGTATCCAACCTGCAACGTTAGGGTGTAGGTGACTTCATAGCCACCTGAGAGAGCAGCTTATGGGGTGTTCTGCCTCGTGGTTCACACCTGGATGCTGGTAGCACATGGAGCACACGGGTCTGTGTCGGCACCCCACGCATTTACTATCTGTCAGTGACCCGGGGGCAGTTTGCAGGGGACACCAGATAGTGGGCACCAGTTGATGTGCTTGAGGGCAGTTGCCATCCAGCAGAATCCAGCAAAACAGGCAGCAGAGGAACACCTTGCAGCTCAGGAGAAGTGTAGGGCTGCACTGTCAAAAGCTGTGGAGGGCTTCTGTGAGACAGGACGGTCATCTGCAAGCATGAGGGCTCCTGTGGTTATCCTAATTCACTTTATCCATAGCTTGTTTTGCACATGTCCCTTATTGCATTTTGCAGGTGAGTTCACACCAGAAATGCAGCTAAGAATACGTCAAGAAATAGAAAAGGAAAAGAAGGTTGAGCTGTGGAAGGAACATTTTTTTGAAAGCTACTACGGCCAAAGGTAAGGACCTGCAGCATCTTTTTTACCCCCACCACTGCCTCTCTGGACACACTTACTGCTAGGGATTTCGTGTGCTGCCCACCAGTAGACATTACCTTTTATCAAACCTCAACAAGATGTAGCTTCATTAGATTCCCAACTTGTTCGTTTCTTGTGTAAATAAGGATGGATGCACAGGACAGGCAGTGTTGGTTCCAAGCAAAGGGTACATCAGTGGTTCTGCTGCTGGCCATGTTCTTCTGGAAGAAATTGGGGGATGCTTTTCAGGAGCCCGGAGTCCATTTCAGCAAATGTCACCATATGAGCTGACGTCAGATGCAAGCTGTGTGGGACATTTTGCATATGGCAGAGATAGGCCTGCAGGGACAAGGAAAGGTAATGTTTACTGTTGGCCAAATTCTTTTGGTTTGCAGCTTGGAAAATGAGTATCTGGGCAGAGGACTACATCTAATGCGTGCTCCACGTATTTTGTTTAGCTGGTTTTAAACATTGCTATTAAGTTCTGTTTCGTTTGGAAGCACTGACAGTAGTGAAGGATTTCAAAGACCATGGCATAAAATCAGTACGAGTTACATTTACTTTGGGTATGGTGTTTAGACAGCCCTCTTTGTTTTTGTAAGGATAGCGTGCTTCTTGCAAGAGTGTTTCACAAAACAAAAATTCTACTTTTCTTGTTAGTTCTGGATTAAGTCCTGAAGAGTCTGAGAGACTGACAGCCAACACCAGCGCTGATGACGTAGAGAATGAAAAGCCAGCAGCAGAACAGCCAAAATGCATGCCAGTCAAAGAGGAGATCACTTCTCCATTGGAGTCTAAAGCACAGGTGGTCCAGGAAGCACCCGCAGTGAGAAGAGGAGTAGAGGAAAGAAGAGGAGAGGAGAGGAGAGAAGAGATGCAGCCCAAAGCAGCCAAACCTGTCGAGGCCTCGGTTTCCCCAGCTGGGTGTGCAGCGAAGCCCAGCGACCCCCAAATCCAAGAGAGAATCCAAGGAGAACCCATCCAAGAGAAAGCACAGCCTGCAGTGAGCCAGAAGCTGGAAGAAGAGAGGAAGCACGCTGCATCAAAGGAAGTGAAGGAGGCTGTGCGTGCCCCGGTCTTGGCCCCAAGCAAACCAAAGAGCCCTGAAGCAGGTGAAGCAGCAGCAAAGGTCGCCGAAAGTCCCGTGGTCGCCCCGCCGACGCCAGAAAAGAAACCCGCTGTGAATGAAGAAATGGAGGTCAGTGTGGAAGGCCATAAGAGGAAGTCGGAGAGCGGTGAAGAAGCTCTGACCACGCCTGAGAAGAAGCCGCGCATTGCAGAGAAGTGCCAGCAGCAGCAGCCGGCGTTTCGCGGCCAAACGCAGTCCTTTCCTGCTGCCGGGCCCCCGGTGCCACGCGTGCCCCCGCTCAAGGTAAGGAGAAGGGAAGGCAGATCCACAGGGTGGGTTGGTGTTGGTCAGCTGGTCGTGTTGGTCGTGCTGGGTCAGCTCCGTTCTGGCTCTGCATGCAAGTTATGTTGCCTGCTTATTGCGGTGATGGAAGTGTTTGATCCAAAAATGCAAAGCTTAGCTGTTTGCTAAAGGAATGGAGTTGAGTGAAGTCTCCTGTACACACACATCTGTTACAAGACCTGCTCAACCAGGAGCTGCAGCAATTGCAGGACCGAAATCACAAAGGGAGCTGCAGCCCAAGAGCACAAAGAACTTTGTAGGTGTATCCGCACTGGTACAAGAATGGGTCTGGAAAGAATGCTGTCAGCAGTTTGCTCTACTATATCAAGTCCAGGAAGTAAACTATTCACCTGTGTTAAAACTAAGTAAAAAAATGATGTGGTTGTCATTAATACTGAATGCAGTGAAGTATCAGACTGGGTAGCAGAGGGCTGTTTTAGGGAAAGCCCTTTATCTGCTGATTCTTGGTAGGAATCTACATATGAAAAGATGACGTGGTTTTCAGTGATCACAGGCATGGATTGATGGTTGGAATGGATTATCTTACTGGTCTTTCCAACCTTTACGATCCTGTGATTCTGTAAGTTAAGCAGTGAATTACCAGAAAGGAAAACAGAAACGAATTGTGACAGTGACAGAAGGGTTGCAGACTTTGGCCTGAGCAATGCTGTTCTCTTGTACCTCAGACGTAGGCCATAGGAAACACACCTGCTATTGAGCTTACAGGAAATTCGCAGCTCAGCTCCCTTGCTTGGGGCCTTAGGCAGAAACTGTGCATGGAAAACTATTCAAGTGCTCTATTTCTGTATGTTCTAAGAATTCTAATCTCTTATTAAGTTTAGAAGGTAACTGGGAGTCAGCAAAGTATCGTGGATGTGTGAAAACAAATGTGACTTTAAAGGATACGAGCTTAAGTCATTACAGATGAGGGAAAAGCACTACTGTGAGTGCACTGATCTCATCATTTCCACTTTAGAAAGAAAGGGTGGTCACATAAAGTGTACTGCAAAGTTGAGGGGAGTGGAATGCATGTGTTAGAAGACAGGACTAAAATTTGGCATTTTATGTGAAGGTACACAGTAGAGGATTAATTGTTTATAGAAGGACACCAAGGAGTGAAACGTAGACATGCAGGGGTAGCAGAGTAATTCACAGATGTACAAATGGATGTAAGCTGCACATGTGTAATGTTAAGCATGAAACCTACACTAAGGGATGAGAGGTGTTGAGTTTTGGTCGCTTTTGACTGAGCTCAGTAGGCTGTGTAATGATGGAGCGTGGTGGAACAGCCTGTACCTGCACGGGAGGAGCTTCCAGCCTGAGTTGATGAGGTGATACCAGACCCAAAACAGGCGTGCCAGGCATCAAAAGGATGTGGACCTTCTCTGTATTCTTCTCAAGTGAGAATTCCAAAAGCATTAATCTAAAACTCCAACCGTAAACACGTCTGTCCTTAACGATGCGGGTTAAACATTCCCTGTGTATCAATTCCACTTTTCTCCTCTCTTTCAGATTCCCGTTTCCCGAATCTCCCCCATGCCATTTCCTGCGGGCCAGGTCTCTCCCAGGGTACGTTTCCCAGCCTCACTCATCAGTCCGGCCAGAACAGGGGCCAGAACCTTGGCGGACATCAAGGCCAAAGCCCAGCAGGTCAGGGCTCAGAGGGCAGCGGCCGCAGCAGCCGCCGCCGCCGCTTCTTCGGGGGGAGCAGTGCCAGGGCCGGGCCCCGGCGGGGGCCCAGCGGGCGGCGGAGGGACGGGTAACACAGCGACGAGTGGAGCCGGCGAAACTGGAACGCGAGGAAACGCACTGGAACTGGCAGGAACTGGAAGCGGGGGAGGTTCGAGAAGGTTTCTTCCACGCTGCCCAGGGACCCATTCCCCAATGGAGACTCAGGAGCAGCCGGCAACCCCCAGTCTTTCTAGAGCACAACTACAGCAAACTTCCACGTTGCAATCCAGAAGCGCAGCTGGCAATGCAGGCACCAACTGCTCCTCCCCAGCGGTATCAGCGATTGAGCAAATCAGCAGAATCAAACAGAGCCCCCCAAACGTGGCTGTAAATCAGGTTTCGGGCTCCTCGTGTGCTGGTGGCTGTGACAAACAAGAGAAAGCACCTTCTGCTCCAGCAGGTCCCGGCCAGGCCTGCGGGGCATCAACTGTCAGGGATGGAACAACTTGTGTCACCGTGTCCTCAGCAGACAGCAATGCCAACATCACCAAGGTAACACCTGCGGCCTTAGGAGGGACCAGCTCAGAGGTCCCCAAAGGCACATCTCCTTCCCCTCTGATGCCTTCGCTGACCCCCACTAGCTCAGAAGCCCAGGCTGGAGGTGCGATGGTGTCAGCTCCATCTGCCCCATGCTCCATCACCTTGTCAGCAGCACCTAGCCTTAAAACCCATCCGAGTTCAAGCGGGGCCCTCCCAAAAGCAAACTCCAGTATTCCTGCCAACAACCCTTTAGTCACCCAACTTCTTCAAGGCAAGAGCGTTCCCCTGGAGCAAATCCTGCCGAAGCCTCTCACCAAAGCAGAAATGAAAACTGTCCCATTAGCTTCTAATGAAGAGAAAGGGGCAGCAATTGTAGCAGGGAGTGGTGCTGGAGCTGAGGGCGGTGAAAGGCAGTCGGGGTTATCCCCACAGCAGCTCGGGAAGATCTTTTGCCAGAGCAGGCCTCTGCCTCACATTCCAAGGACATTTGTGCTCCCTGCAGGAAAGGAACCCAGTGCTGACCAGCACCCAGAGGCGCTCAGTAAAACAACGCAGGAGCAGATCCTTCAGACGCTCATCAAGAGGGTCCAGAGGCAGAATTTGCTCCCGGTCCTTCAGCCTTCCCAAGTGAACCTCGCACACTCAGGTTTCCAGTTAGAAAACAGCTCCACCAGCCAGAGATTTGTGCTGGGTTTCATGGGCAGAAGGACATCCAAACCCGCTATGTCTGGTCATTATCTGCTCAACATTTCCACCTACGGCCGTGGTTCGGAGAGTTTGAGGAGAGGCTTCTCCTTGAACCCTGAAACCCGCTCTTGTCTGAACAGCCCAGCCAGTGGTCCAAAAGCAGAATTTGGGGAATGTGAGGAGATGGCTGGCCATGGCAGCAGCAGCGAGGAAGGAGATGCGGATGATGAGAGCACTGGTGATGAACGCGAGCATGTCAGCGTAAAAGAGGAGCCCCAGGCTTTCCAGGTGGCTGCTCCATGTGAAAAAGAACAGGTATCACACGGTGCAAATTCCTCAGATTACAGCATCCTTGCTAAAAAGGGGATGAAGACGGAAGCGGCCATGTCTCAGCAGGCAGCCGGCAGCAGGGAGAACATTCAGGAGTTGGATGGAACGGCGTTAGCACGAGATTTTATTCAGGCCGCTCAAGAGCAAATGGTGCACACAATGAAGGGAAAAACGCACAGCAGCCCTGAGCTCTTCAGCTCTTCTGCACCATCCTCAGACTCTGCGCAGCCACAGCTTCCCCAGCTTTCTCACCCCCACCCTCCGAAGCTGGGAGGAGATGCTGCGGCAGCGCAGCTCATCGGGCCCAGCTACAGCGGCACAATAAACGTCTCCACCTCCCCAGACGTGAACCAGGGCTCTCTCATGAGCGGGCTCTCCGAGTGCAATCAGTTGTCCAGTAGCATGGGGAACGTCATGTCCTTCTCTGTGACTGTAACCACCATTCCCACCAGCCAAGCCATGAACTCTGGCAGCCACGGCCAGACCATCCCGGTTCAGGCCTTTGCTGAAGACAGCAGCATGGAGGACTCCCCTTCCAAGTGTTACTGCAGGTTGAAAGCCATGATCATGTGCAAGGGCTGCGGTGCCTTCTGCCATGATGACTGCATTGGCCCCTCTAAGCTCTGTGTCTCCTGCCTGGTTGTGCGGTAACCGGGACGTGACGTGGGAAGAGGAAGGCTCCGTGTTGGGTTTGCTTTTGGAAGTACGTTGGGAAGAAACAGGAAATTTACTGCCTTGCACAAGAGACACGTTACTGAATCAGGAATACAGAGTAGAGTTCTTCTTTCATTAAAGAAAGAGCACCTTCTTGTACAGTGAGTCTAAATTGAGCTCAACTACGTGAATTGTGACAAGAGTTTGCACTTAAGGAATTATGTAAATATGTCACATTATTTTGTTTAAAAATATTTTTTCAATCTTTTAGGAGATAGCGTTTGACTTGTACTGCAGTTCCATTAACCCTAGCCTGCTATCCAGCGCGTTTGCTGAGCTCTGCTCTAGATGGGGTAACAATCTCCCAACGAAACCTCAGTGGTTGGTCTTCTCTTGGCAAGGAGAGGAGCCAGGCAATCAAGGCAGGAAATGTTTGTGCTGACAGAGCCCCGCAGCCCCTCAGCGGGCTGCTGGGTTGCTCTGAACTTCAGATTGATCAGAATTGGAAGCCGCTGACGTTCATCACCCATGGCATGGCCGTTCCCAGAAGGCCATGCTGGGTTGTGCAATATTGGCTGGTGGTTTTGATTGCATATCCTCTCCTCTCCAAGGAGTCAGTTGCAGTAACCTCATTTTAAGGGTGGTGATATCTTGGTTTGCTGCTGAAAAAGGCAACTCTACTAACCATAGGATACCAGAATTTAAATCACTAAACCAACTCAGTAACTGTGATGATCGGTCATCCCAGGAACCATTTAAAGCAGAGATCACAAAGATGTGCTGAACTGCATTTCATTTCCGGACTGTCAGGACTCAGCAGAAACCTGCTTTATTAGGCATTATTTCAAGTGAGCTGGAAGGTGCCATGCCCACCACTGAGAACCATCACAGCACATTATGCAAGTGAAGTGCACTAAATGTCACCCTCTGTCCTACTGTTTTCTAGGAAGCTTACTGTGGCTCATTAAAAACTCCACGTAGTCAGACTTCTCTCATTTCTATAGATTTTATATTAAGCTAAGAGTGGAAAACAAGCCTCTCGTTGGGCCTCACTGGTGTCTGGGCATCTCCATGTCTTTTAAAAACCAAATTGCCCCAACTGCTGGTTGCGCTCTGTTGTGGCCCAGTGCCGGTGTTCGCAATCCGTTCTTTCCAATTAATCCAAATTAACAGTTACAAACTGGTACTATATGGTACTCAACAACTGCAATTTTCCACAGGCTGGCTGATAGAGCATACTCCAGTCTGCATTGTGATGCAGTGCAACGAGCATGCATCGCATGGAGGAGCTGTAGGTTACTTCTCTTCCCAGAAAACGTCAGGTTCACATCCAGTCCCATGTTGTCACTGTTGGGGGAGGGAGGGGGGCCATACGAGATCTTGGTCAGGTAACAAATCCATGTATCTTTTTGATGGAAAAGCACTGAATTCACTTTGAATCCAAAGGCCTTTTTAAGATGAAGCAATATTAACAAAAGAGGTGACGGCTGTTTTATGAGCTGGGGTCCGAAAGCCTTTTTCCTTCTTTCCATTTGACTGCACTGCTGCTTTCCCCGTTTCCCACACGTGGGAGCACTGAGTGTTTCTGCAGGGAGAGTAATGATAAAGAGAGTTGCAGGCTTAATCACTTGGCAGAGAAATGTTTCCTTCCCTGTCCAACAGAGCGTGGTATCCTCCAACGCAGGATCAGCACGTCCTGGGATTTGATTTGCTCACCATACATTGACTGGGGACCCCTGCTTTCTAACTCCACATCACTCCTTAGGCAACGGTGGAAAGAATTTAACTATAGGAGTACAGCCAGGGTTTTTTTTTTTTTGAAACCACTTAAATCTCAAAAAAAAACTAGCCCTGGTTGTTCTGTTGTGCTGCACAAGCGTTGGCCACGGCTGTAGCCCCATGGCTTTGGGAGCCCACCAGAGGGACGGCTGCTTCTCTGGGCTGGCTGCTATGGAAGCACTGACTTGGCCACATCGCTGCCCGCATCCCTCCTTCCTTTCCAGTGGGCATCTCTCCATCGTTGGAATTCGCAGGGCGCTGTGAAGGAGGTCCATGTGGCACCCCGGGCAGAGTAGCATCTTCCCTTGCCTTGTTAACTCGAGCCCTGAAGGGAAGCATTACGGCCATGCAATCCTCCGTGAGACACATTAATTCCCTTCTAATGCGGATCCCCCAGGGTAACCCAGCCTGAAGGCTGTAGCTAGTTACAAAAGAAACTGAAAAAGTCACTTCTGCCTCAAATAAAAGCCAGGAGGTTTTGCTGGTGAAATGGGATCGATTCTGTTCATGCCTCAATGTTCATCAATAACTCTTCATAGCCTAAAGGCTGCTGCAGACAGGTAGGGGGAGGTGCTGAGGGAGCAGCACGCATTGCTGCCTTGTGTGAGCATCCACACGTTCTCAGCATTGCCTAAAGCCACCCCGACCCCCCCTGCAGCTCCAGCTCCTCGCTGCCTTTATGTTTGGCAGGAGTTCCTCTGCAGCACACAGTTGGGTTTCTGCAACACGTACAGCAATAGGAACCGAGTGGAGCTGGGCCAGGTTTGGGCACAGGGTGACCACTGGGATATGTGGGGCTGCCAGGCTGGATGGGAAATGCGGGCATCTCATGCCACAACTTGGAAGTTTACAAGCATTCAGTGCCTTAGTTCTATTTTAACAGAGGAGCGCTTTTCCTGGGCTACTTCTGCTCCATTCCTTTTTCAGACAGTAAATTCTTTTCCCTGCTTGTCTTTGATTTTACCATACGCTACGAGCTACTAGGTGGAACCCGATGGAGTAACGTCCACAGGATTGCAGGAGGGCATGAAGTAGTCAGGAAGTGATTAGGAATAACAGAGCTCAGTATAATAACCAACAGAAGCACAGGTCTGCCTGAAGCCTTGAAAGCTTTGCATGTTTCACAGTGCTGGTTGTTGAATAACGTGATCTAGAAAGGGAACATCCTGCAGCCCGTGTAGCAGTGCTCCCTGCTGGCCTCACCTGTGTTAAACATAGTTTAAAACAACAGACTTTGGAGCCCAGATATTAAGTAATGGCATTCTGTAGGAAATGCCATCGTTTTGCTGGGCACAGTAATGATGAGGTGATGGTTGGATTTGATATCATAGAGGTCTTCTCCAACCTTAATGATTTTATGATTCTATAACAAATAAGATCTAATACTAAATATTTTACCAAGTCTAACATCAGACTCTTTGTGGCAGTAGAAGCAGCTTGAGTAGGAAGAGATGCTCAGGTTTATATTTTCCCTCTTGAGCCACAATCCAAGTCCTGCAGCATGAGAACTAGAAATACAAACTGAGCAATGGAATTTAACTTTCCGGTGCAAAAAAGAACCCCGCCTTGTTCAAGCTGTTTTAATGGAGGAGTGAATGCAACTCCACAGATGAGCTAAGGCTGCGGGATACGGTTTGGTAGCACAGGGAAGGAAATTTGTGTGGAATTCTGATGCCCTTCTTAAATCAAAAGGAAAAGACCGAGGTGCTGAGCAGCTGCACGGTCAGTGGAGTTGTGTAGTGCACGGTGTTGGGTCACAGCTGGGAGGGGAGCCCTCAGGTTGGGACTGAGGGGGGACCTTCGTGTGCTGGGGCTGCGTCCTGCCCAACGGGAGCTGCCACGGTCAGGCTGGGCGCTGGCTCTTCTGTGCCAACCATGCTCAGTCCAGCGCTGGTTTTTGAGCTGCAGATCGGCTCCTGCTGAAGGAAATTTGGGGTTTTGTTCAGGGAAGTGCCCAGAAGACCAGTGGTCGCTGTGTGTTGGCTGCTTGAAGCCCTCGGAGGCTCCTTGTCTTCTTGGGATGAGCTCAGCTGTCCAAAGCCCCCGCCATGCAGTCGTGGCTGAGTCAGCCCAGGAGCGTGCTGGGCTCTGCCCAGGGCTTTCAGCTTCCCAAATCCCACTGTGGCTGTGCAGGAGGCTGCAGGGAGTCCCTCCGTGGGGTTGCCAGTTCCATCGGTGTGGCAACGGAGTCCAACCAGGGGAGCATCTCAGGCGCGTGCTGCGATCGCGACATCCGCAGTTCTGTTCCTTAACTGGGGTTGTTTGTTTTTTTTTTTTTAATGCTATACATTTGATATAACTGAAGATCAATTTTAAGAGCTTACAGTAATATATTTTAAGTAATATATATTTTAGTATCTGTAAAAAAAGAGAAAAAAAGAAAAAAAAGACAAAGGATGATTTATGAACTAGATGAGCAGGGTATGGAGAGCGTGCAGTTTCTCAGCAAGGCCATGGAGTTTCACTGGCAGGAGAACTGGAAAGATTCCGTTTTGTCCATTGATGCAATAAATGTGGGAGTTCTTAAAGAGAAGAAATCCAATACTGTTTACCATGAGCTTTTCTGGTTTTGACAACAGGCCTGTAAACGCAGCTAGAAGATGCTGAACCTTTGTCTGTCTTTCGCCTTTTTAAAAGGGACTTAAATTGGAATAGAGGGTATGTACAGAGAAATCGAGTTGACACCATTTTAAAATGTATTTTTACACAAATAATATAGAAAAATCATATTTTACGTAAGAATTTTAAGTATTTGAAATATGTATATATATACTGTATGTACTTCATATATTCTTTATTTTACATTTACAGTGTATTAAAAAGTATTTGAGCTGGTTGGATTTGAGCATGTAATAATGTTAAAAGGGAAAAAAAGAAAAGAGGGAGGGAGGACACGAGGAGGGAGGCCGCAGGGAAAGCAGGAGTTCAGCACTGAAGGAGTCTGGAAGAGTTTTGCAGCTTCAGATGGAGCGTACAGAACCTTTTCAGTCCTGTGTCCTTTTGTGTTCCATCGGTGTCCGTTCCTTTTGCCTCACAGCCACCCAGTAGAACCCACAGTGAGGAGACAAGTTGAGGTGGATCCCTTCCATAAGCAATGCTACCTTCGTAGCCAAAGAGACACACTGGTCCAGAAGCTGCTCAACCAAAAGAGAATCCGAAGCGGCTCAGTTTTGCTGTGCCATTGGAATGGTGATCAGTAGCTCAATTGCTGTGTGAGCACCTTAGGGTGCCGATGGGGAATTCAAACAACATACCAAAAACCCAACCATTTCACGGGAGCACTGTCAAAGCAGATTGGTCTTGCTGTTTGTAGAAATTGGGGTGAAAGCCTCACTGTAGGGGACGATACATCCTTGCAGCTATTGGGAGCAGAGTGAATCCATTTGGCTGCACTGGAATCCTCAAGATGTCCCCAGATGGCAGAGGCCACTACTGCCCATGCCAGGCTGGATGTGGCTCTGTGCAGCCTGGTCTGGTGGTTGGCAGCCCTGCTCTTAACAGGGGGTTGAAACTCGATGATCATTGTGGTCCTTTTCAACCCAGGCCATTCTACAATTCTATGGTAAGATACTATGGGGCGTCCCCTAAAGCAGGGACAAGCAGGGCATTGCAGCGTGCTCTGCAGGCTGAGATCTGCAGCTCACACAGCTGCTGGCCCCAATGCTGCACACAAATTTGCCATGGAGATGAGGGTAGAAATGGAGCCATTTGGAGTGTCCCTGTCCTGTCCCATCTGCAATGCCCATTTGGGTTAGATGAACCTCCGGTGACATTTATACCACTCGTTCCTGCAACTCCTGTATATAAATTGGAGGTGATTAAAAGAAATCTCTGTTGCTGGGAGTTACAGCGAAGGTAACAATGTGGGCAAAGAAGAATGATTGACAAGTCAGGTTTTAAAGTACAAATCTGAAAACTGAAAAGGTGGGCAACTGGTATTTTTATACCACATCAGCTGTCATTGGAATCTCTTGGAAACAAGAGGATGGAACCCAGGATTTTGTCAAAATCTGCTGTCTGCACATTGGTGGGGTTTTCACTCTCAACAGCTGTACCCCACTGGTGGGTGTGCATGTAGGGCTGTGCAGATGTGTATCTGTACAGGTGTGCACGGCTGCATTGGCCACGTGTACATAGAAGACCAGCTCCACCTCAGCCTTGTGCTGCCATTACACCTTGGGACTTGAGATGGAATTAGGGCTGCTTTACATTTGTTTTCATATGTAAGATATATGGGGTAGACAAAATAAATACTAGCGGTGTATGTTTCGATCTGCTGCACTTTGACAAACAAACAACATTCCTTCTTCCCCTGGTACTGCTGCATCTCCCATTCCTCCCTACCCTGATTTCAACCTTACCCAGCCGGTCTCCTGTCCCGTTCGGTTAGCAGAGGCTGCACTGTGCATTGCTCAGGGCAGGGCTGTGCTCTTAGCCCACCTGTGGCTGTGATGTGGAAGGTGTTGTCCCATCGTCTCGAGCAGCAGGGACAGAGGTTCTGGGTACAATCCTTTATTGAGTGCCTGGAGGTGTGCAAGGGACGTGCCTGCCAGCAGTCACCCTCGCTGATGGCTGGCAGCTCCCTTCCTTTGCCCTAAATGTGTGCAGCCACAAGTCCTCACCCTGCTCCTGTCTGCTTGAAAAGTCAAATTTCAGTTACAAATCCGGCAATTGAGAGGAAAAAAAAAAGGGGGGGGATTAAGTAATGTAAGCTGTAGGCATTTATAACAGTGTGGGCCCATTCCTGCAAAGGAGCAAGACAGCAGGGACAGACGTGTCTGTCGTGCTGCAGCTGTGCCTCTTGGCCAACGGTGTTCCCTCAACACGTTGTCCCTCATTTTGCTGTGTAAGCTTCCACCTTAGCTTCTCAGCAGCATTAAGAGGGATCAGAGGAGTGCTAAGAACGGCCAGTTTCTAACCTGTCACTTGATCTGTGCCCACAGGAGGTAGCACTTGGACAAGCAAAAGCCTGCCCCGTGCCTTCTGTCTGACTGCAGATTCCGTTCCTTTCCCTCTCACTTCTTTCTGTCGTGTAAAACTACCTGCTTTAGAAATGAATGTAAAATTCCGTAGCTCTTCAGCACATGGGCAAATGTGTATTTTATCTTCATGTTTCATTTTATGTTAAATAAAAGGCGTATGGTTTTATGGCCATTAGTGCTGCTAATGTTGATTTTTCAGTGATTACCTTTTGTTTTTTCAAGGGACCCCCACGAACAGCAGTGAACTACGGTTCTTCAAACTGGAATCACTCAACAACTCAATGCAGTCAGTGGGACTGAGGTGCTTGTGAATGCATAGGAAGCCTGGGACTGCTTCTCACTGAAATATTACAAGGCTAGATATAAGGATAAAGCCTTTTACGTGAGGATGGAGAGGCTCTGGAACAGAATACTTAATATTGTATTAATATTGACGCCCCATCCCTGGAGACTTTAAAGGCCAGGCTGGATCAGGTGTTGGGCAACCTGACCTAGCTGTGGTGTCCCTGTTCACTGCAGGGGAGATGGACTAGATGGCCTTCAGAGGTCCATTCCAACTGTTTAATTCCCTATGCAAGGCTCTGGAAGTTTTGAAGTAAAATCTACCAGGAGAGGAAGCAACACAATCTTGCCTAAGGTTTGTGCAGACTGATTCAGTGTAAGTGGTTTTCTGCTCAAAAAAAGTCAGGTGTCTCTTTAGTTATACAAATGGTGCAGGAAATTATGTGGAAAACTGGTAGCAAAGCTTGAGAAGATGAATATAAAATAAAGAACTGGTTTAAAGGGTCTTAATATGGATAGGCCAGAAGCAGGAAATCACTTTGGGTGGAGGATTCTACTGAAGTGTCTCAGTCCAGCCCTGAATCTCGAAGATTTTTATCAGTGATACCAGAAACAAAAGTCAGGAATATCCCAAGAAAATGGACTGATAACACAGATTTAGGAAACCTCAGCAATGTGCACACAGACAATATTGGTAATCTGCAACTCAAAGTGAAGCCCAACTGCACACAAAGGTGTCTGGGGGCAACAACACAGCCTGCTGCTCCAGGAGTGGGTGCACAGTAACCAGAGCTGACGGGATGAGCAGGACCTTGACATACTAATTAATAACATCTTGTAATTATAAGCTGTCAGTGTGATTTAGCTATGGGGAAGGAAAAACAAAAAGTCCAGTTTGTGTATTGCCAGCAGAGAGAAAACCAGTGCATTGTCCAAGGCAACGAGGCACTTACTGTGTGCCTCTGCTCCCCTGCATTCACGAATGACTGCTTCAAACTGGAACAGATGTGCTAAAGGACTTCGAGGCGACCAGGAAAGGACAGATAAATCCCTGACAGGTAGCAAAGAAGCCAAAAAGTGCAAGTTAAAGAACAGAAGTTACAAAGGGTATCGTGGTGCATCTCCACCAAAGCATTGGGCTTAGTGCTCTAGGGAGCATTGGATGGACCTGTTATCCTAAAGAAAAGACTTTTAGAGTCCAGGCATTTTTAATGAGCAATTTAAATTACTCTTTTCATTGACTTGTTTGCGTTAGTGGTGATGTCACGTCATCAGCACCACTCTTCCATCTGTTTTGTTCTAATCTTTAATGGTTGTATCTCATTATTACTGTACCATCTCAGTCCCACAGGGGTTGGAAGGGACCTTTAAGATCATAGAATGATAGAATGGCCTGGGTTGAAAAGGACCACAATGCTCAT